ATAAGGAAGACCAAAGAAGAATTGATAAATTTGGGTTATGGTGTTGGAGAAGAATATTAGAAGTACCATGGACTGCCTGAAGAACAAATCAATTTTTGTTGGAAGAAGTACAGTCAGAGTGCTCCTTAGAAGTCAGTATGGCAAGACTTAAGTTTCATGAGGGACAAGTCTGTTGAGGAGATCATGCTTCGTAAAGTGGAGGATCATTGAAAAAGAGGAAGACCCACAACAAGATAGTTTGGCACAGTGGCAGCAGCAATGGACTCAAGGATAACAGTGATTTTCTGGTTAACACAGGACCGGGTCAGAACAGACTTTATGGTACCTAACAACAACAACATTAAAATAAATAGGTGATAAAGGTAAACATATTTTCAGTTAATGCTTGCTCTGTGAAAGCCATTTAATGGTTTATGTTATTCTGTTTGTACAGTTTAAGTATTGTCTGGTTAACTGCTGAGAGCTTCTACTAGCATTGCTATATACTAAAAAATTAAATAACATAAAAGGAGAAAAACTGGGATCACTGATAGACACTTGGGAATTTAGTGAAGTCCATGAGGGGATTCTATCTGGAATGCTTTATTTCCATGGCAGTAGTGATTTGGTTGGTTGATCTTTTGTATAATGACTGCTGCTGGTTGTTGGTGTCCTTGGCTGCTTCACTTTATGTCTTTACTAAGCAAAGGACAAGAGTGGGTTGGTTTTGTATGTTGTAGAAAAAGGTTTAATTACTAGAGGCATTAGGACTTATTTTGGAGGATCCCATTACATAGATCATTGGCAAAAAGGAAATGACCATTTACTGGATGCTTGTTCCATGTCAAACCCACTACCATTGGGTAGATTCTGACTTAACAGTGGCCCTATACAGGGTTTCTGAGACAGTGAAGCTTTCTGGGAGCAGAAGCCTCCTCTTCTGTGCAGTGGCTGGTGGGTTTGACAGCTGACCTTGCAGTTAGCATCCCAGCGCTTACCCACAGCTCTATGTCAGGCACTGTGGATGTAATACTTGGTATCTTACTTAATGTTCGTACTTTGTGAGAAGGAGTTTGAATAACTTATCCAAGGTCATGTTATTAGTTAGCATTAAAGCTATTCAGTATTTCTGATCAGAGCCTAGATTGAGACTTCAGTATGCTCTGAAGACTTAAGTTCTTTGCTTGAAAAATATGAAGTGCAGCAATATTATTCCTCATTTATTATGTTCTTAGATTTAAGAACATTTTAAAAGCCCAATTTTGTTTTGTTTTGTTTTGTTTTTTTCTATTTGTTCTAACCTAGAATGTCTTATTCTTGGGCTGTAGCAGTGGACAATTTAAGAAGAAGTGTACCCACTCTTGAGGGACTGTGAGTTGTATTGCTGCCTTAAAAAGTATAATTTCCCTGAAACAAATTTTTTGAGTTAACTAATCTGATAAACCTGCATGTAAAAATGACACTTAATTTGCTTAGTATGTTGGCCTCAACATCTCCCACCTGATTATACGTTTCTTTTCCTCCACCTCAGCTTCTCTACTACCCCACTTACTTCTAATCCTTTGCTTCTACCTGATTCTGGCCTAATAGCAGCCAGTGCTATGGAGTTGGCTGACTTATCTGTAGATACTAGCTTCTAATGTCCATTTTCTAGGAATACATAACAAAACTTTGAAACAAACTGAATGTAAATATTAAGGTCTGCTATCTTTTGTTTTTATAAATACTGACTTAGAGGGAAACCGAAGGGGATTGTGTCATACAGAGCCTTTATAAGTTGTTTACAGAAGAAATTGAAAAGGATAAAATAAGAAATCAGTTATCCATATAATACCAGTGCTTGTAAGCATGTTTAATAACTGTCATTATTTTGAAAAGCTGTATTTTATTAAGGGTTCATTTTAACTTCTTAGTTGGAGTTAATTTACTGGTTAAAAAAAAAATCAGGTTTTCTGTGACGCCATTATTTTAAGATATACCTTACAAAATAGACCTTTTTTTTTTTTTTTTTACATGTTTCAGAAGTTCTTTGAATCATTACAAATCATTTATACAGTCATGTAGATAAAAAAAAAAAAAACGCGTCATTTTTTTTGGTGTCAGAAAACTCAGTTGATTTCATACTTATGAAATATGACAAATGAAGGACTAGCTACCAAAACTGAAACTCACCTACAAGAAGTACCTTCTTTTGGATTCTAAAGTGTGACTCTGTATGTGTTCGATTCCACAAAAGCAGAAGCAGTAGTGCTGGCTAAAAGTTTGCCAGAAGACCGTGCTTCAAATGTTCAAGTGTTGACAGAAAGGACTGTATTGATCAGAGAGGCATGTAGAAGTGTTTTTTGTTTTTGTCTTTGTTTTTTAACTTTTTCACTTAATATTGGAATTAGCATCCTGATGTGTTGCCTGCTAAGTTAGGTGTGTCTCAGCAAGCTCATTTACTTAAATTTCCTCAGTTTGTCTTTGTATTGAAAACAGTAAGCACTGTGAACCTAGTTTTCTATTCTCAATTCCCAGGGCTTCCTACTATGAGATTTCAGTTGATGATGGTCCATGGGAGAAACAGAAGAGTTCAGGACTCAATCTGTGTACTGGAACAGGATCAAAGGCTTGGTAAGAAACTTGGGGTGTTGCTTATCAACTTTTGTGAAATGTTCAGTAATGTGATTCACCCAGTATCTCGTACTGGTGCATGTCAAATGTACTGGTGCTACATCTAACACACAAGGAGTAACCTGGTGCTGTTTTGTGGTTTGTCTCAGTTTCTGTTTCTTTCACTGGTTGGGTCTAAGAGTCCTGCTTTGACTTTTGGAGTCTAGGTGCAGTCTAGATGTGGTCATTACGCGGTAAGTATTGAGTTTAATCAAGAAATAAAATGAAACATGGTTTGGGAGACTACATAAACATTTTTTAAGTGAATATTTTAAATGGTAATATATACAGAATACAATATAAACAATATGCTGGTGATTTGGCTTAACTGGATATAGCCCGAGACTTCCTGTATCCTACTGACCCTGTAACCTCTCCCTGCCCTGTCTCTTCTTGTACATACATGCAGATATCTTTGCTCCTGACCACAAACTCATACTCTGAAGGCACCTGCTAGATGGAATGTTATTAGCACTTCAAACTCAACAAATTCAGAAAAAAGTTTATTGTCTTCAGTTTTTCTTCCTGTGTTCCCTGTATTACTATTTACCCTGATTCTGTGCTCTAGATCAGAGGTGGGGAACATCAACCCTCAGGCCATATAAGGCCTGTAAAATTATTTGGTCAGGCTCTGCCAAGGCAACCACAGTTCCAGCCATCACCTTGTTGTTAAGTGCTGTCAAGTTGTTTCTGACTCATAGTGACTCTACATAGGGCTTCCGGGGAGCAGCTGGTGAGTTTGAACTGCCGATCTTGCAGTTCAAATGGTTTTGCAGTCTGATGCATTAACCCACAGCACCACACCAGGATTCCAGCCATCACCTTAGGGATGAGTTAATTGTTTGACCAAATGTAGCAGGCTAATTTTTAAGTTAAATAATTTTGTATAGCTTTTGGTTGATAATATAAATTTTGGCAGAAAAAAGGTTCCGTACCTCTACTCTAGGGAGCCTTGGTAGCATAGTAGTTACGGGTCAGGCTGCGAACCACAAGGTCAACAGTCGGCAGTTTGAAACTGCTAGTGGTTCCATGGGAGAAAGATGAGGCGTTCTGCTCCCGTAAAGATTTATAGCCTTGGAAACCCTGTGCAGGGTCACTATGAGTCGGGACCATCTCCACGGTACTTAACAACGAACAACAGCCTCTACTCTGGTAGTGTAGTGGTTACGATTCAGGCTGCAAACCACAAGGTCAGCAGTTTAAAACTACCAGCTGCTCCATGGGAGAAAGATGAGACTTTCTGCTCCCATAAAGATTTACAGTCTTATAAACCCTGTACATGGTCGTTATGAGTCAAACTGACTCCACGGCACATAACCACCACCAACTCTGCTCTAGAGGAAAACATGGCTCCTCAAAACCTTGCTCTACTGTTACATCTCCCATTGTGACCTCCACACATACTCGCCTTTCAACCCTGCTGATTGCATTCTGAGGTCTGTGCTCTCGTTTCCAGTTTCCTGCTGCTGCTTTGGTCCAGGCCCCAATGTTAGTGAATGTTTGCTGGGCAAATGTTGCAAAAATGTGGATAAATGTGGCTACATTTTATCTCTGCTTTAATAGTTTAATTGACCCGTGCCTACTTCAGGTTGCTCAGCCTGCCATACAAGGCCCATTATAATATGACCTAAGCCACCTTACCAAGGAGCCCAGGTAGTATATGGATTGCGAGTTGCTCTGCTAACCACAAGGTCAGCAGTTTAAATCTACCAGCCTCTCCTCGGGAGAAAGATGAGACTTTCTGCTCCAATAAGATTTACGGCCTTGTAAACCCTAAACCAGGCTGCTGTGAGTCAAAAACTTCTCCACAACACACCACCACCACCACCAAGCACCCTTACCAGCCTTATTCTTCCTTGTGAGCAGAATGGAAGTACTGTAGGCATTCTGCAGGGCTCTGCTTACATCTTGTGCTCACTAGGCTTTGTGCGATTTCTTCCTGCTTTTTAAATGCCTAAGCACTCTCTAATTTCTACCCACTGACTGAAAAATCCAGTCTTCAAATGTCCTTCGCTTTAGGAAATCTTTGCTAGGATGTGGTTCTTTTCACAACCATAAGCGTGATTAATGCCTTTTCTGTCCTTTCCAGCACGTTTCCTCCTAATACTGTTAATAGTACTTAACCACATTATTGTCTACAGATCCAGGAAGTCTGAGCAAATTGAATGGCTTGGGATGGTGATTAGTGCCTTTGTTTCCTTGCCTAATTGTTTTCTATGCATAGCATAGTACCTAATACATAGTTACTCAAATATTTTGAATAAATGATTGTTGTTGTGTGCCGTGGAGTCAGTTCTCACTCATAGTGACTCTGTAAATGATTATATGCTTACAAATACAACTAAAATAGAGCTTATAAAACTAAATTATACATTTGGAAAATTGAATGTACTTTAAAAACAATGTAATGTGCTTTTTAGTTTGCTAGTTATAGATTGTTGATGTTGTTGTTGTGATGTGCCGTGGAGTCGGTTCCATCTCATAGAGACCCTGTATAGGGTATCCGAGGCTATAAATCTTTACAGGAGCAGAAAGCCTCATCCTTCTCGCGCAGAACAGCTGATAGTTTCTAACTGCTGACCTTAAGGTTCGCAGCCCAATTTGTAACCACTATGCTACCAGAGCTCCTTAGTTATAGACTGTTGTTGTGAAGTGTCATCGAGTTAGTTCCAACCCATAGCGACCCTGTATAGGGTTTCCAAGCCAAGGAGCAGCTGGTAAGCTTGAACTACTGACCTTGCAGTTCAAACGGCTTTGCAGTCTGGCACATTTACCCACAGTGCCACACCAGGACTCCAGTTATAAATTAGTGCTATTTAAAACCTTCTTGTTGGGTAAATTTTAAATACATGCAAGAATACACAAAATAGTATAATAAATCCCATGTCCCATTATTTAATTATAATAATTAGCTCCACTAATTATTACTTAACTTCACAAAATGTTAGGCTCACTAATTCTTGACTCCTGTCCAATTTTGTTTCCTCTGTGCCCATCCTTGGGGAGTCCTGGTGTGGTGCTGTAGAATAAGCACTGCACTGCAACTGCAAAGTTGGCAGTTCAAGCTCACCAGCTGCTCCTCAGAAACCCTATACAGGGTTGCTATGAGTTGGAACTAACACAATTGCACTTAACAAAAAGAACAGTTTCCCTTTTCCAGCTCCTTTCTTTCTGTACTATCTTTTTTAAAATTAAACTTCAATTTTTACAGCAGTTTGGTTGTTGTTGTCAGGTGCCATCCAGTTGGTTCCGACAAATAACAACTCTGTGCACAACAGAACAAAACTGCCAGATCCTGTGCCATCCTCACCGCTGTTACTGCCACTGGGCCAGTCCATCTCGTTGGGGGTCTACCTCTTTTTCGCTGACCCTCCACTTTACCAAGCAGCATGTCCTTCTCCAGGGACTCATCCCTCCTGAAGTCTGAGAGACAAAGTCTGGCCATCCGGGCTTCTAAATACAACTAAAATGGAGCATTCTGGCTGTACATCTTTCAGCACAGATTGGTTTGTTCTCCTGGAAGTCCCTAGTACGTTTAATATTTTTCTCCAACAGCAAAACTCACATGCATCAATTCTTCTGTGGTGTTCCTTATTCCACATGCATATGAGGCTTGTGCACCTAGTCCTCAAGTTGACATTTGTGCTTTCAAATACTTCAAGGAGGTCTTGTACAACAGGTTTGCCTATTGTAGTACGTCATTTGACTTCCTGATTGTTGCTTCCCTTAGTGTTGATTGTGGATCCAAGCAAAATGAAGGCTGACAACTAATATTTTCTACATTTATCATGTGGTTATTTATTGATCCAATGGTGAGGTTTTTTTGTTTTCTTTACATTGAGGTGCAATCCATACTGAAGGCCTTGTTTTGTCAGCCCACCGTCTCTTCCCACAGATATAGGCAATTTGATTCCTATGTATTACATCTGTTGAAGTCCATATGTTGTCTTTTATGTTGTTTAAAAAAGGTATTTGCAATGAATGAATCACCGGTCTTCAAAATTCTATCATGCAGTCTTCAGCATCATTTCTGTCACCCTAGCCATACTTTGCAGCTCATTCTTTCTCTTTGTTTCCAACTTGTGCATTCCAATCGTCAGTAACTATCAAGACGTCTTGATTGCATATTTGATCAGTTTCACACTGAAAAAGTTGGTAGAATTCTTCAGCTTCATTATCACTGGCTTTTGTGGTTGCTGCACAAATTTGAATAATAGTTGTATTAACTGATCTTCCTTGTAGGCATATGGATATCATCCTATCACAGACAGCATTGTACTTCAAGATGGAGCTTGAATGTATGACAAACAGTTTTAGGTTTATAGAATAATTGTGCAGAAAGTGCACAGAGTTAAGTACACCCTCTCTTCCCCTGCACAGTTTATTAACATCTTTCAATCATGAGGTACATTTGTTAACAAAATTGATGAAGGAATATTGATACATTATTATTAACTCAAGTCCATACTGTACTTTAGGGTTCTAATGTATTTTGACAACTCCCCCCCCGCCCCCGAAACATTTCAGCTTCATACAGAATCATTTCACTGCCCCTAGAATGTTCTGTACTTTGCCTGTCCATCCCTTCTCTCCTCTTGCTTAGGTCCTGGGAGCTACTAATCACTTTACTATCTCTGTAGTCTTGCCTGCAGCTTTTGCAGACTGGCATATTAACACTTAATAATATGCATTAAAGTTACTGCATATCTTTTAATAGCTTGATGTTGTTGTTGTTGTTAAGTGCTGTCGAGTTGACTCCGACCCATAGCAACCCTGTATAGGGTTTCCAGGGAGCAGCTGGTGAGCTTGATCACCAACCTTGCAGTTCAAACGACTTTGCAGTGTGACGCATTAGCCCACAGCGCCACACCAGGAATTTCTTTTTATTTTTGAATAATACTTCGTTGTATGGAGTCCTGGTGTGGTGCTATAGGACAAGCACTGGACTGCTAATCACATGG